GGGCCCCTATGCTGTTGAAAGAGCCTCAAGCGCTTCCCCACCTGGGGACTAGCGACCCGGCCCCCCTCCCAAACTTCGGACTTAGACGTTCGCTGCCCCCTTAGGACAGGACCCAAGCCCCTCCCCACGTTAGGATGGATTCCCCTCCAGCATCCCCGCGGCGGCCAGGCGCGCCCGGGTCCCTCCCCTGAGCCCCCGGCCCCTATCAACCGAGCCGGAGTCAGCAGGATCTCAGCGGCCGGAGCGGAGGCCGAGGCCGAGGCCGAAGCCTTGTCGGCCTTGTCGCCTTTGATGCCGGCCACGGCGGGCTGGAAGCTGATCTTCACCATGGCTGCGCTGGCCGCGGTGCGCCTGCAGCCTCTGACGGTGCAGCCTCTTTCCGTGCAGCCGCTGCCCGCACTCCGCAGGCACCGGAAGTTTGGATCTGCTCGCGTGCCTTTCTCTAACCCCACCTCCAGTCCGCCCCCAACAGGGGGGGCTTTGGCGCCCGCTGCGCCTGCGCCCCCTTCCTGCCCCTCGGTGCGCAGTGACCCCTGCCGGGCGTGCTGCTCCGACTTGGGGAGGACTGAGGTTCACTCCATCCATCCATCCATCCATCCATCCATCCACCCATCCATCCACCCACCCATCCATCCAATCAGGCATGGATTCAGCCCTCTTCAAAGCCTTATCCCTTCGGGCTCCCTTTCCAAGACCAGCCTCCCCAAACACACAATCTGTTAAAACAGTGTTTGCTAGATAAATGCAGTTTACAGACAAGTTCCCAGGCTCAACCCCCACGCCCCCGCAAGGTGTGTTTTTTATTGATATTTAGAGAGAAAAAGAGAGAGGCATCAATGTGAAAAAAACATCCATCCGTTGCCTTCTGCATGTGCCCTGACTGGGGATCAAACCTGCAACCTGGGTATGTGCCCTGACCAGGAATCCAACCAGAAACCTTTTGGTGTACGGTGGATGCTCCAACCAACTGAGCCACTCAGCCAGGGCCCATCCTGCCCTTTGGAACACCGTGCCACCTCCTCTTCTGAGACCTCAGTGCTGCAAGGCAGCCCATGCAAATGGTTCCCATGGGTGTGGCTTTGTTCTCAAAGTCATTTTCAAAGTGAGGACCTTGACCAGCAGCCCCAGCAGCCCCAGGGAACTTGTTAGAAAGGCAAACAACCTCATTCACCCTCTCACTGCCTCTTCCTGTCCTCCTGTCCTCTGCAGACTGCCCTCTCCTCTCTCCTCAGCAGCGGAGCTCACCTCTCCACCGAGAATCCGAAGCCATCCTGTGAGAACACCCTCGTGCTGCTGGCCAGGCCCCCCACCAGCAGCTGCCCCTGTGGTTACTGTGGTCCCTTTTGGCCCTTCAGGTTGGAGGAGGCGTCTGTCTTTGCTCTTCTCTTAGATTCATTCCACCTTCTTGGTGAGGATTTCAAACCTCCTGTCATCTCGGATAATCTTAAGGCCTCAGTCATGCCCCATACCCAAGCCATCAGGGATGGCCCTCTACTCCAGCCTCAGCTCTCCCCTCTGTCCTATCAGTTCTGAAACATGCTTGCATTAACCTTGGAAGAAAACAGAACAAAACAACTCCTTTGACCCCTTGGCCCCTCCCCTTGGTACTCTATTTCTCTCATTTTCGCCTTAGCCAAACTTCTAGACAATTCGGTCTCCATTTCCTCATCCCTCTCCACACTCATCCTAGCTGGATCTGGCTTCTGTCCTCACACCTCCACCTGGTTTTTAATCCTCATTTTGTTGTTGTTGTTGTTAATCCTCACCAGGGGATATTTTCCCCCACTGATTCTTAGAGAGAGTGGAAGGGAGGGGGACACAGAGAGAGAAACACTGATGGAAGAGAGACACATGGATTGGTTGCCTCCCACACATGCCCTGACCGAATTGAACCCCAAACCCTTCAGTCCACAGGCCGCCTCTCTAAGCACTGAACAAGACTGGCTAGGGTTAATCCTCATCTTACTTGGGGTGGTTTTGGGCTGCTTGGCCATGCCCTCTCCTGTGACCCCCCCTGCCCCCCCACCAACCAAGTTGAGGAGGGGGATTGGCTCCAGTGGGAAGGTTTCCTGGAATCAACCCCCACAATAGTTCATTTTAAAACTAAAACCCCAAATGTGAACTTTTACATGTGTTTACCTCTTTCTCCAAATTGAGTAATTCAGTGTTGTTCTTAAAGGATATCTGATTTATGACCATGTAAAGGCTGGTTGAGACTTACAGTTATAGTTAATCTTCGATGGTCAGGGTAGGGGATTGCTGGGGATGCAGTGATCTCAAACAAAGGTATAGCTACTACCCTCAGAGTTCTGTCAGCTCCCCAGAACATAATTCATCTTGTAACTTGAAGTTTGTACCCTTTGACCAACATGTCATTTCCTCCATCCACCAGCCTGTGGTAACCACCATCCTACTCTCTGCTTCTATGAGTTCAACTACTTTAGATCCCACATGTAAATGAGATAATACAGTGTCTGTCTTTCTCTGTCTGGTTTATTTCACTTAGTATGATATCCTTAAGGTTCACCCATGTTGTCACAAATGGCAAGATTTTATTCTTTTTTATGGCTGAATAACATCCCATTATATTCATGCACACCACATTTTTAAATCCATTCATCCATGAGTGGACGCTTAGGTTGTTTCCATGTCTTGGCTTTTGTGAATAATGCTACAATGACCACGGGAGTGCACATGTGTCGTAAGTGTTTCCCTCCACGTCCTGCGTGGTTCAGGGTTCGGGTCTGGAAGAGGAGCCGCACACAAATGAAATAGAAAAGACACTAGATAATTTGGGAATACTGGGGGACCAGGCGGCAAGTCCAACTCAAGAGGAAGGACTTCCACTGTGCTTAGGCCTCACCAAGCTTTTATAGTGAGTGGTAAACAAGGTAGTGGTTACCATAGTTACACAGTTCTTGTGAGTTTCACTTGTTTACACCATGGTTATACTTCCTGCACTTCCTCAGCCCATTAGATTCCCAGATAAGATCTAGGGAGTGTTATAAGGTCAAGCCTAATTATGCTAAGAGGACTGTGCCCTCTAACCTAGGGCTTGTTTGTGACTTTGCCAGCAAGTCAGTCCGAGGCTTAACCCTATATCAGTCTCCCACACGCATGTCTTTTCAAGATACTGATTTCCTTTCCTTTGGATATACTGGAATTGCTGGATCCTATGGTAGTTACATTTTTAATTTTTTGTCCCTGATAAGTATATTGAAGAGATAGTTCCTCTGAAATACAGTAAAAAGAGACAAATCTCTGGAAAATCTAATTAATAAATAAGGTAGAAAATATTAATATGAGAAAGAAGATATAACCATAGATAAAGTGGTTATTACATGTTATAATATGCTATATATATACTCATATCAAATAAATGTGAATGTTCCAAAGTGGATGATTTTACGGAAAAGTAATATGGCCAAAATGGACTCAAGAAGTAGAAGGAAATAATAATGTCCTATAATCAAGGAAAATACTGAAAAAAGTTCTCAAGCAATTCTCTCTCTCAAAAAAAAAAAAAAAAAAAGAGAAAGAAAAGAAAAGGCTCTGAGCAGCCAGACCACTTATCTGGATGGTTCTTTCAAACTAAAGGAACAGCTAGTTATGTTGGTGCTTCAATTAATTTTAGGCATAGATTATATATTCTGACACAAAAATCTGACAAAAGAGAGAAACATACTTTTAGTTATGAAATGAGATGCAGAAATTCAATGGTACATTAGAAGAACAGTGAAGTGCTACCAAGTAGAACTTCTGAGAATAAAGACATAGAGAAATTGCTTTGCAAAATAATGCTTAAAAGTAATAGCTATTCAAACTTAAAAAACATAAAGAAAATAAGACAACTATGATGACAAAACCCAGAACAACCACTTAGTACTTTGTTATTTTTCCTCCAATATTTTTCACTCTATATGTGAATATGTGTGTGTGGTATGTATGTGTTTCACTAAACTGGGACAACAGTGTAAGAGAGAGAGAGAGAGAGAGAGAGAGAGAGAGAGAGAGAGAGAGAGAGAGAGAGAGAGAGAGAGAGAGAGAGAGAGAGAGAGAGAATCTCACTAGGGGTGATTTGACCTTTGGGGAATATTTGGCAATGTTTGTCACAACTTGGGTGGCAGGCAGGTAGGTGCTACTATGCTCTAGTAGTTAGAAACCAGCTCTGCCGTGTATAGGACAGTCCCCACAACAATTATCCAGTCTAAGATGAGAAGCTCTGGTTAATATCTTGCTTTTTTTCCCTTCTCTTTAGTTTCAGCATTTTCTCATGTGGTAGGTAGGCAGAATGCCCCGTCCCCTCACCAAGATAGCCATGGCCTACCCTTTGGAACCTGTGAATTTGTTACCTTACACGGTAAAAGGAACTTTATAGAAGTAATTAAGATTATGAACCTTAAAATAGTGAAATTATTCTGGTTTTACCTGAGTGATCACGCGAGTCTTTAAAGGCAGAGCACTTCCTCTGGCTCGAGTGAGAGAGAGGTAGCAGAAAAGTCACGGAGATCTGAAGCATGAGGAGGCTTGGAAATGTTGCTGGGATGTAGATGGGGGAGGGGCAATGGGACAGGGAACCATGGTGCCTTTAAAGCGCTAGTTACTGAAACCAAGGGTACAGGCCAAACCTGGTGCTGGTGAAAAAGGAAAGAGGATTATTCCAGTCACACATCTGAGAATATGGGGGACTCTTGTCACAAAGACCATCTTAACATCTCAGTGCAGGCAGAGGTTTTTATAAGGAGGGAGAGGGAAAGCAGAACAAAGAGATCAAGGGAGGGAGGTTGGAAGGTTCTCTATGACCAGCACAGCCCACTTCGGAAGGACCTCGAAACTGGTCAAATGATGGTCTTCTGGTCTTCGTCATCCTAGTTCTGCGGTTGAAGGTCAGCAAATCCCCCAGAACTGGGATGACTGAAGGTCGGAGTCTGTATCTTCTGGAGTTAGTTCCTAGGATTCGTCTACAAACCTGCTGTTTATCTACAAGCTGCCTCTTAGTCAGATTCAGCATTTACAGAAACAATGTCAAGAGAATGGTGGGGTGGGTCACAATTCCCCACTGTCACACACTGAGAGAAACGGAAACCCAGGAAAACAGAAACCTCAGTCCTAGTACCACACAGAACTGAAATCTGTCCCCAACCTGAATGAGCCTGGCAGCCCCTCTTCCCCCATCGCTGCCATCCCCCAGCGCCTCCAGGTAAAGAGCCCAAGTGGGTGGGCACCTTGTTTTGACCGAGTTAGACCAGGAGCAGAGGAAACAGCAGAGCCCACCTGTTCTGTTGAGTCACAGAACTCCGCAATAAGGAATTCATGTTGCCACAAAACTTACAGTGTGTTACAACAGCAAAATAAAAGGAATGCTTTTGGCATAATTAAACATTCTCTCATATTCATGAACATCCGTGTCACCTCTCTCTGTCTTAATGCCCACACCGAAT